TGACGCGGCCGGAGCGGGAGCACGTGCGGCTCAAGTGCGCGGCCGCAGCAGGCTGGGGCTGCGAGCGGCAGCTAAGGACAGCTCGGCGCCGCCCTCCTCCGCACGTGCTGCTGCCACGCCAGCAGGGCTCTGGCAGTCCGGCCAGCGTGCCCGGCTCCTCCACTGCCCCACCTCCTCCCCGCCTCCTCCCCGCCTGCCGACCTCCACAACAATGCAGCATCGCCTCGGTGCGCACCAACACGGTCACCCCGCAGCTGGCGGCGGCGCTGAGCAGCAGGTGCGGCCCTGCCAGACCTTTCTTCTGGATGCAGGCGGGCGCCTGGCTGCGCCCAGCGGCAGCTGCCAAGCTTGCCGTCACCCGGCGCCTCCCCCGGCCCCTCCCCCTCCCCCCGCAGGGGCACTCGCTCGCTGACTGTGGCTGTGGAGAGCGGCAGCCAGCGGGTGCGGGACATAGTGAACAAGAAGCTGGCAACAGAGGAGATTGTACAGTGCGCGCGCAATGCCCAGGTGGGCGCCACCAGCTGGCCCGGCTGCCGGTGCCGACGCTCACAGGACTGAGTGCGGGTTTTGTGTGTGGCAGATTGTGTTGCCGCCTGCTTCACGGGTCCTGCCTGGCGTCTTATCTGTGTGGCTGGCGCAGGAGGGGGGGCTGGAGGGGCTGAAGCTGTACGGCATGGTGGGAGTGCCTGGGGAGCAGGAGGAAGGTGGGCAGGCACGGCAGCCACGGTACCGTTGGGCCTCCCAAGAAGCTGCATGCCGGCGGCATGTTCTTGGGTGCGTCGCACGTCGTCACGGTGCGGGTAAGCAGATGACGGCCTCCCGCCCCCACCCCACTGCCTCCCGTCCCCGCCTGCAGACGTGGATGCCACGATAACGATGATGCAGCAGCTGCGCAGGGAGGCGCCCAAGCTCAGGCTGACGCTGGGGTGCAGCACGTTTGTGCCCAAGGCCCACACGCCGTTCCAGTGGTATGGCGTGAGCAGCGGTGAGGCCGGGTCAGAGGGCAAGGACAGGGGAGCGCCTTCTTCTTCTGCGTGTGTGACACTTACGCTGCCGCCGCACCTGCGGTTTTGGCTGGCCCCTCCTGGCCTGGTGCAGAGGGGGACAGGCGGCTGAAGCGGCTGGAGAAGGCGCTGGGGCGGGAGGGGGTGGAGTTCCGCCCCGAGAGCTACAAGTGGAGCGTGGTGCAGGCGCTGCTGTCGCGCGGCGACCGGCGGCTCAGCCGCCTGCTGCTGCTGGTGCGGCAGTACGGAGACAGCCTGGGCAGCTTCCGCCGGGCCTTCAAGGAGCTGCAGGTGGGCGGCACTCCATGTCTGTCTGGGAGGAGCAGGTCAGCAGCCATGCACGGTGGCCTCGGTGGCCTCCTGCATGGTGGCTGCTGCAAGGCGATGGTGTGCGTGTGTCGTGCATTCACGCTGCCTTGCGTGGTGTGGTGCTCTGCCTGCCGTGCAGGGCGAGCTGCCGCCCATGGAGCATTATGTCAGCTCCAACTACGACCCAGCTGCCACAGGTGAGGCAGGCGCTGATGCTGTGCATGCAATCCGTGGTGGCCTGCGCCGCCAACCTGTTGCCTCCCTCTTCTCCCTCCCACTGTGCAGTGCTGCCCTGGAGCCACCTGCACGGCCCGCTGCCGCTCGCCACGCTGGTGAAGCATCAGGAGGAGGCGCAGCGGCACATGTAGGAGGGGCGCAGCGAGACAGGCCTCTGGCCCCTCTGCTGCTCCTTTTGCCCATCCCTGGCGGCTCCCTCTCCCTCCGTCTGAGCTCCCAGCGATTTATTTACAGATTACCAGCACAGCGTCAGGGCATATAAATCATGCAGAAAGCAGATCAGAGGGCTTCAAGAGCAGAGTTGGCGGGGCACGACGGTGGATCAGGGAGACGGGCAGGCACCTGGGGTGCACGCGCTGTCGTAGCCGCAGCAGGAGGCCAGGCAGGAGTTGGAGAAGGTGATGCCATTGCAGCAGACAGGATCGTAGATGGCTGGGCACAGTATATCCTTGCAGCCGGGGCAGGAGGGTGGGTTGGTGGGAGGAGAGGGGCAGGCACCTGGGGTGCACTCGGCAGCATCATAGCCGCAGCAGGCGGCCAGGCAGGAGTTGGGGAAGGTTCGGCCGTTGCAGCAGACAGGATCGTAGATGGCGGGGCACACCACATTCTTGCAGCCGGGGCAGGAGGCGGGAGGGGTGCCGGGGCAGGGGCACTGGCTGCGGCACCTGGGGGTGGTGCCCCCCAGGCACGCCTCATACAGGCTTCCATAGCTCTGCCCGTTCTGGCCGCACACCGGCAGGGACCGCTTGGGCATGTGCTTGCAGCGAGAGATGTCGGTGTCAGGCAGGTGGGTGGGCTGAGCGGGCTGAGCGGCGGCCTCGGCGGGCTGCACGCCGCCAGCGTACCCGGCGCCCGACTTGCCGGCCAGGCAGCCAGCCAGGAAGAGGCTGCAGCAGGAACAGGGAATAAAGTTGGCAGGAGGAAGGGCAGGCGTGTATGGGTTTGGGTGTGCAGGTGCGGGGATGGACAGGCGGGCCGGCCAAGGCAGCGGGTGCCCCCTAGCAGGTACTGCACCTGGCCAGGAGGAGGAGGTAGGGCAGGCGGCACGCCATTCTGCTGCTGCACTGGTCCGTGTCTGAGAGCAAGAAGGTGCAGAAGAAGGCTCCAACCTGGCATATATTTTGGCGGCATTGGGTAGCTGCCCATGACTTCCTCGCCAGCTCAGCGGGAACCCTTCTTTGTTTCAAACTACAGCCAAATGGCTTCCTGCTGCTGCGCTCTTTCTCTAAGCTGATTGCAGTATGGGCCAGGCTCAGGCTCCACCCAAAGGTGTCATAAGATCATAGTGACGACAGCCAAGGAAACGGTTCAAAATGTGGCGACGTGCCCAAAATGTGGCGGATCAGCTGAAAGAGCAGGTAGCAAGGAGCGATGCGGCGGCGGCATGCGTTGGCAGGAGTGGAGCAAGGTGTGGTGGGAAGGGAGGGGATCACTGGGCGCCGTGCGCTCACGCCGCCGCCCCCACCGCGGTGTCTGCCACGCTGGCCAGGTACTTGGCTCGGGACGGCACATCCTCCGCTGGCCGGTTGTGCGGCGTCCAAACCGGCACGCCCACAAACAGCCGCAGGGCCTGCAGGCGGGGACGCGTGGCGCCGCAGGTGATCAGCACGGCGCGTCGTGCCAGCTCCCATGACGCCACCACCCGCTCCACGCTGCCGCCCTCCAGCACCACCCCAGCAGGGCCCCCCACCCACACACCCACACACACACCTTGACGTGGTTGCTGGTGTCCAGCGTGAAGCGGTGGTAGATGCCCTCGGGGATCACCAGCAGCGCGCCCTTCCGGCACCAGATGCGCACCCACCGGTCCTCCAGGTCCCGCACATCAAAGTAGCCTGGCGGCAGGCGGTGGGGGGTGGGGTGGGGGTGGGGGGGTCAGCAGGGCAGGCATCAAACAACGCTGGCGGGGTGGTGGCCACGCGAGGCGCAGCCCCTGCTTCCCAGCCTAGGCCCCCGCCATGCCGCGCCGCCCTCTTCCCCGCCTCTCCCCCACCGGCCACCTCCCCTCCTTCCGCGCCGCTCACCGCTGCCGTCCAGGATGTAGCGGATCTCCTCGTCCGTGTGCAGGTGCTCCTGGTAGAAGCTGCGGATCTTGTCCTCGTAGCCCGGCAGCGCCTCGGGGGTGATGGTCACGCAGTCCTCGTAGCTGTAACCGCGCGCCTTGCGGATGGCGGCCAGCCGAGGGTCGCCGTCCGCGTAGGCGTCGGCGTCCAGGGCCCACACCCGCACTCCCAGCGAGTGCAGCACCGCGGCCGGGCACGGCTGGTTGGGGTCCAGCCTGCGGGGCGGGCGCGCGGGCGTGTAGGGGAGCAGGGCAGAGCAGGTGGGCGGCCCACAGCTGGGGGATGTAGGCAGGAGAGCCTCGACCGAGTGACAGGGCGCGCGCAGGAAGCATGGGAGGGCAGTGGAAACTGCCGGGCCTAACACCTCAACACCTCGGGCAGCCGCCGCCGCCACCGACCCGCCCGCCGCCCACCTGTGCGGCAGCCGCTGGTCCTCGCTGCTGTCGTCCATGTACCAGGCCTCGATGGGGGAGTCTGGAGAGGAGGGCCACTGGTCCGGCGCCAGCTCCTGCAGAGGCAGGCGGAGGATTCTTTCGGCATCGCGCCAGCCGTGGCTCGTGCTGTGAGGAGCACAAGAGCCAGCCCGTGGCATGACAGCGCAATGCAGCCGGACTGGTCCAGCGCCCAACCCACCGCCGCATAGGCCTCCTCCTCTGCTGTCAGCTCGACGCCCGCCATGGCAGCAGTGTCAGGTGGATCAGTGGCAGGCAGCAGAAAAATACAACGGGAGGGCATGCATGAGTGAATAGCTGGCACCGCTGAACCGCCACATTGCCCGCCGCGGTCGGGCTGCATTTTGGGACCTTCATGTGCTGCCGCTGTACCCCAACTCTTTGCCATAGCTGGCCTTCCAGCAGCTGCTCAACGGCTCAGTCACGGCCCTGCCTTTGTGATGACGAGAGCATGGGTTTGTTGGATGGAAGGGGGGGCAGTAAGATTTCAGACAAGTGATGGTTTAGCGGAGAGGAGCCCAATCAAATATAAGTGTAGATTGAGTTGGTCCGATGCCGGGCAGGGAAGGGAAGGCAATGTGCCGAGGGCGGGAGGAGGAGGGTTCGGCGGCGGGCCGCCGCGCCTCTGGGCGCCCAAGCGCTCCAACACAAAACCCCTCCAGTCAAAAGAGGGAAACACGAGCGACAAACAATCAACACAAACAGGGGCTGTACACGAGAGGGGGAGAGGGTGGCGCCTGCGGGCAGGTGGCCACATCCTCGGGGGGGAGCGGGGCTGCGCCTCGCCTCAGGCCAGGCGGCTTCACATGAAGAAGGTGACGCCGCGCTCGCCCAGCGGCTGCGGCGGGCGCGCGTTGACGCCCGGCTTGCGGCCCGCCCCCGCAAAGAACATGAAGTCCACCACCTGGTCCGGGTTGACCTGCAGCGGGTCCAGGAACACATACCAGTCCACGCCTGTGCTGCAGGGGGGCGTGGTCAGGCTGCCGCTGCAGGGGGCAGGGAGGGGGTGGCGTGGCAGGGGACGTCAGCGGCGCGTTGCCGGCAGGGTGCAGGCCGGGCGTGCGACCAGGAGCAGCCGCCCATCCCATCCAGGCGGGCGCCACCTGCCCCTCGCAGCTGCTGCCTGCCCGCTGGTGCTGCCTGCCAGCCCCCGCCCCCTTACACCCTCCCACCCCGACCGACCTGTAGTGGGCGTAGGGGCGCATGCCGTCTGCGGTGCGGACCTTGGGCAGCAGCGTCTGCAGGTTGATGGGCCGCTGCAGGCGCGTCTCGGCGTTGGGCGCCAGCGGCGCGGAGCGCAGTGCCTCGCCGATCACCGGGTTGGGCAGGATGTCGCCGCCCCCCTCGATGAACACGCCCAGCACCGCCAGGTTGCCCGTCTCCAGGTTCTTGTGCACCAGGTGGGCCTCCATGGCCAGGTTGGCGCCGTCCACGGTGTGCTCGCTGGGGGTGTGGAAGTGGAACTGCAGCAGGCGGTGCTTCTGGCCGCCGGGGCCCAGCTCATACTCGATGCCCTCGGGCACGTTGACCTGGAGGGAGGGAGGGGCAGGGAGGGAGGGTGAGGCAGCGCACGTGGTGGGGAGGAGGGGCGGGAACAGCGCAGGGAGGGAGGCAAGGGGGCGTCTGCGCGGCTCCCGGCTGGGAAGCAGCCATGGAGGCAGCAATGGCTGGCGCTGCCGGCTGCTGCATCTGGCTGTCATGGGAAGGCGTGGCGGCGGCGAGGGGCGCGCTATGCGGCAGCACATGCACCCAACTGACGGAAGAGCCCCTCGCCCCCCATCACCCCCACCTGCATGGTGCCGTGGCCGGTGTTGCGCACGGTGGCGCCCTCCTTGATGAAGCGCGGGAAGCGGGGAGCCAGCACGCTCAGCGTGCGGTCGGCGGCGGGCGGGAAGCGGGCGTCGTAGTTGAGGTTGATAGGCGACTGCTGGCCCACGGTGGAGCACACGCCAGACCACGTCACGGGCCCATCCAGGCAGCTGTAGCCCCAGGGAGGCAGGCCCACGCCGTCGGCAATGGTGGCCACCTCCTGGGCGCCCCGCAGGATGGTGGGGGCCGCGGCGGCGGCGCCATCTGCGGCCGAGCTGGCGGCGGCGCCGCCCTCCTGGGCGAGCGCCGGCAGGGGTGGACAGCAGGCACAAAGGCCGGCCACAAGGCCCGCCTTGATCAGGTTCCGCCGCCCGGTGATGAGAGGCATGCGGTCGGCCGTCTTGTGCGTGGTTGGCTCGCTGGAGGCCCGCACGGGGGCCCCCCTTGCAGCTGCTACAACCAAGCTCATTGCGTCCGCAGCTGGCACAAACAAGGCTGCGGGAGGTAGGAGAACAGGCTGCAAGGCGAAAGAGCGCTTGTTCACCAACACCATCGACTCCCTCCAACAATTACCGTACTGCTGCAGGTACAGCCTGGTGTCAAGGTTGGGCAACCCCGCGGATCATAACAAAAAACCGATGCTGGACGACATGCAGCCGAAGCCGCAGCGCAGACCAACGGGGAGGGCTCGCCCCCTCCTTGCAGCTGCAGCAGCGACCCTTGTATGCATCCTCATGCTGCGGGGATCGCGGCAAGCGAAGATCTCCGATTCACAAACCGGCGATAAACGCTCAGGCGGCAAAGCAGCAAAGCAGAGCCCATGGCCAAAGGTCAAGGTGAGCCTGCAAACGAGTGCCTGTCCGCCTCATCAGGCAGGGGGAGGTGGTACAGTATCACCGGCGGCAGCTGGAGAGCGCGGGCTGCGCCCCACTGCCAACAGCTTTCCCGCCGCCTCGCCGTCGCCGCCCTCGCGCCGGAGGTGCGGCAAGCCATGCAGCCTGCCTGACCTCCTTGCCCACACGCACACAACGCCTGCCTGCTCCACGGCAGACCATGCACGACCTGGAGACGCTGTGGGAGGTGCCCCGCAAGCCCAAGGGTGTGCTGTTTGTGGCCCATGGCTGCAGCCACCAGGGCAGCGACTTCTGGCCCGCGTCGCAGCGCTGCAAGCACTGCCTGGGGCTGCCGGAGGAGATGGGGGTGCGGGCTGCGGCCCTCAAGCGCGGCTATGCAGTGGTGGCGGTCACATCGTACAACCGAGACAGCAGGTGCTGGCACAACACGCAGGCCAAGCGGTCAGAGGACCTCAAGGTGTGGCCTATGCTGCGCCGATGCAGGGCCCACGCGGCAAGCAGCGAATTGCGCTGCGCTGGGGCAGGCTGCTTCCGGCTGGCGGCTGCTGCCCGGCAGCTGTCCTGCCCGGTATGCCGGCCCTCTCCGTCACCCTGTGCCTTCTTGCTTGCCCGGTGCCTGTGCCCTCCCGCATGCAGCGCCTGCCCAGCATCCTGCGGGATGTGATTCAGGAGGAGGGGCTGGCCGGGCTGCCGCTGTTTGCCTTTGGCGCCTCCAGCGGCGGCAGCCTGGCGCTGCGGCTGGCCGCAGTGATGCCGGAGGTGCAGGTGCGTGGGGTGCGGGCCGGCTGCTGTGCCCTGCTTGCGTGCGAGAGCATGCAGTTGCGAGGCGCCGTAGCGAGCCCGCTGCTGCGGGTGCCTGCCCGGCCGCAGGGCGTCATCTGCCAGATCACTCCCGTCAACCCGTCGGCGCTGGAGGTGGATGGGGGAGGCAGCCGCCGCTTCCCGCCCACCGTGTTTGTGCACATGGCGCAGCGCGACCCCGAGAAGGCGGAGACGGTGGCCGAGGCGATCAAGATCCTCAAGTGAGCTCCGGTGCCTGCTTGTGGCGCGCAGCATGCCTCGGCTGCCCCCGCCCAACCCGCGTCGCAGCCCGCCAGCTGGAGCTTGGAGCCCGAGTGCGCTCGGCATATGCCCTGGCTCGCGCCTCCCCGTGGGCCCATGCCCACCGGAGCCCGCCCGCCTGGCTGGAGCCCGCTGCAGGAAGGCGGGCACCCCTGCCACGGAGATCAAGGTGGCTCCGCAGGCGGTGACGGCGGCACTGCTGCAGCGCTCCGACCAGATCGGCGGCAAGCAGGCCAAGGCAATCGTGGCGGCGCTGAAGAAGGGCGGCGCGCTGGACAAGGTGAGAAGGGCGGGGGTGGGGCGCCGGGGCGCATGCGACCCACACACGCCCCGCTGCTCCGCCCCACCACCGCCGTCCCCCTGCCGCTGCAGAAAGGCCTTCTCAAGCTGGACCCCCGCTCCTCGGCCTCCACCTGGCGCCAGATGGTGGAGCCGGTGGCGGGCGGCCTCAGCCTGGAAGCGGATGTGTCGCAGATTGGTGAGCTGCTCAATGTGGCGTACGCCCGCCACGAGATCGTCAGCGAGCACACCGCGGCGTCGCTGGCGTGGCTGGAGGCGGGCGGCAAGAAGAAGATGGGATAGGCGGGCAGCCCCAGCACATTGTTCGTTTTGCAGCCGTGACACCACCATTCTTTTCAGCTGTAATTACAGTACAGCCCTGAGCTGATGTCAACACCTCCATGTACCTGCAAGCGGGACATGTAGTTGAACACAAAAAATGGCGCTAACTGCACGCGCACGGTGTGAATCGGTCGTTTCGCAGCATTCGTTCTAGCTAGAACGGCAGCTTTTGTCCAAAGCCGCCCGCCGCAATGCGCGCAACAAAATAGGTCTACCACATCTGCGAAAATGGCCTTCAACGCCACCACGTTGCTGTCGGTGCTGCTCGCAGCGACAGCCCAGCTGCATGCACTGCCGCAGGGAGAGGACCACGGGACCGCGCCCGCGCCGCTCCCGCTGCTCTCCGGCAACAACGCCACCGATTGGCCACAGTTCAGGGTGAGTGGGCCTGCATCCCGGGACGACGTGGGGTGCGCTGCTGCACGATTTGCCTGCCCAGCGCCGCAGTCCTCTGGGCCGCCGCTTGGCCCCGTCCTGCCGCACGGCACTCAGCGCCGCGCCCGCCTCCCCCCTCCCGCCCAGGTGATTCGTGACCTGGAGACGCTGTGGGAGGTGCCAGACCAGGTGGGCGGCGTGCTGCTTGTGGCCCACGGCTGCAGCCACCAGGCCGGCGACTTCTGGCCCGCGTCGCAGCGCTGCCCGGGCTGCCTGGGGCTGCCCGAGGAGATGGCGATCCGCGCCACGGCCCTGCGCCGCGGCTACGCCGTCATCGCCGTGTCCTCCTACAACCGCTCCTCTGGGTGCTGGCACAACACGCAGGCCAGCCGGTCGGAGGACCTGCAGGTGGGGCGGGGGCCGGGGGGCGGGGGGAGGCGGGCGGGCACGCTCTGGGCGCCGCCATGCCGTGGACCCGCTGCCCTTGCCGATGCCGCAGCAGGCCTTGATTGCGCACATCCTCCTGCCCCTCCCCCCCTGCAGCGGCTGCCGGACATAGTGAGGGAGGTGGTGCGGGAGGAGGGGCTGGAGGGGCTGCCGCTCTTCCTGTTTGGCGCCTCCAGCGGCGGCGGCATCGTGCTGCGCCTGGCCGCAATCATGGCTGAGGTGCAGGTGCGTGCGTGGGTGGCAGCTGGCGCATGGGGAGGGGGCTGGGGGCGACCCCAGCACCGCTCTCCCCTGCTCTGTGCTGGGGGCAGGAGCGAGGGCGGGCGCCCGCTGCCGCGCACCACGTGCCGCGTCTGCGCCGCGATCCCGACACCTGCCGCCTCCCGCCACCTGGCGTGGCGTGCAGGGCGTGGCGGCGCAGGTGGTGCCCTTCCGCCCAGACCTGATGGAGGGGGGCCAGGGCTGGCGCCGCTTCCCGCCGGTGGTGGTGGCGCACATGGCGGCGCGGGACCCGGTGTGGGCGGCGCAGGTGGCGGAGACGATGGGCTACTGCAGGTGCTGTGTGGATGTGGGCTGCGCCGCACACTCGCACCAGCCTGGCAGTGGCAGCACGCGCCTGGTGGCCACAGCATCAAAACGGCGTGCCCGGCTCCCGCCGCTCCCTCCCTCTTCGGGCCACAGAGGCGCCGCTATGTGCGCGCCGTGCTCCACCGCCCCCGTGCGCCCGCTGCCTGGCGCAGGTCTGTGGGCATCCCCGCCGCGGAGATCAGGATCGACCCTCAGCCCATCACGCCTCAGTTCCTGCAGCGCGCCCCGCAGATCGACCGCGCCACGGCGGAGGCGATGGTGGAGGCGCTGGATGGGGAGGGGCTGCTGGATGAGGTGCGCCCCCGCGCAGCCGCCACAACCCTGCCAGCCCCGCCTGCGCCTGCGCGCCTGCCTGTGCCTGCCCGCATGGCTTCGGGCGCCGAGCACGGCTGCTGCTGCTGAGCACGGCCGCCTCCTGCCCTGCCGCCGCAGGGCGGCTTCCTGCTGGTGCGGCAACCCCTCCAGCACGCGCTGGCTGTGGCGGCGCGCGGTGCAGCCGCTGGTGGGCGGCATGAGCCTGGAGGTCAACAGGAGCCCCGTGGCACAGCTGCTGAACGTGGCGTGTGAGTGGGGGGCGCACACCCTGCTTGAGCAGCAGCATCTTGCCAGAGGCGGGGGCGATTGTTCCCTGGGGGCGCGGTCTGGGGCTGCCCTCCCCCCCCACCTTGGCCTGGTGTGCCCTTGTGTTGCCAAACCCCAACCAGGAGCTGCCAGCGAACACCTGGGCCTGGGGCTTGGCCTGGCTGGAGGCGGGCGGGCAGCTGAGCCTGGAGGAGGTGCAGCGGGTGAAGGAGCGGTGGGGGGAGCAGAGGGGCGGGTGAGGGGCCGGCCCTGCTCCAGCTGGCAGCCACAGCGTTTCACTGCCCCCAACGATAGCGCAACACCCCTTGATCCGTCATTTGATTCCTGCCAGCATGCATCAACCGATGTGACTGTGTGACTGACGCACTTCCGCCTGCACCACCCCTATTGCTTGCTCCTATTGCTTTGTCCTATTGCATTCATTGCACTAATACCATGACACATGAATCCTGTTGCTCATTGCAATGCTGATTGGTCGACTGATCGAGCAGAACGGCCCTGACCGGCTTGTCCGGGCAGCCGCCCCTCACGCCTCATCTGCCGCCACGTGCACCGTGATGGCGTGCGAGGCGCGCCCACACGAGTACACCCCCACCAGGCACCCCGCCCGCTCATACACCTGCGGCCTGTGGCTCACCACCAGGAACTGGGCTGCGCTGCCCTGGCCGTCGCCCGCCTCCTGCTGCTGCTGCGACGCGATGTAATCCGCCACCCGGGCGGCGTTGACCTGCGGGGGGCGGCACAGGCGAGGCGTGGAGCGGGGACCCACCCAGCTGGGCATGCCGTGGCGCCTGCGCTCCCGCAACCGCCTGTTCAGGTGCCCCACCGCCCTCCGCGCCCCCCGCACCGTACCGTGTCCAGAGCGCAGTCTATCTCGTCCTGCACGCATGGCGGGCAGGCGGGGACAGGCGTCGGGGCAGGGGGGCTCGCCAGAGCCGGGTGCCAGCCCGCAGTGCCCTTTTTTGCCCCGGCTGCCCGGCCTCAGGGTTCCCAGTGCCACACACACAGGCATATTGCCCGGCGCGCCCGCCCCATCCTCACGAAGAAGTAGAAGGGTGAGGGGAAGGCGGCCTGCAGGGCGAAGCACAGCGCCAGCGTGGCCAGCGCCTGCTGCCCGCCGCTGAGGGAGGGGAAGGGGCGCCAGCGGCTGCGGTCGGGCCTGACGTGGAAGGTGACTCCGTCTGCAAAGGCGGCCAGCACGTCCTCGGTGTAGCTGCAGGGCAGGCCAGGAGGGGCAGCAGTGTGCATACAGTAACACCAAGTGTGGTGTGGTGTGGTGTGGTGTGGTGTGGTGTGGTGTGGGGGTTTCAGCCAGCTGGGCTGCAGGTCCTCTGGATGAAGGAGTGCCACGTGGCCAGCAGTGCCCTTTGAGCGTCACCTGCAGTACGCGTCGCCCTGGCCGCCCGTCAGGCGCGCGTAGATGCCGCTCAGCTTCTCGTTGACCGCCGTCAGCGCCGCATGGAAGCGCCGGTACCGCTCCGCCTGCAACCACATGCGTGGCGGCAGCACCTCATCGGGGGGGGGGCGGCAGCACCTAGGGCGGCACCCACGGAATCAGCCCGGCCAGGTGGAGCAGCTGATCAATCAACCAGCCGCCAGGGGAGCCGCCGAGGCCCCACCTGCAGGCTGGCCTGCCGGCTGGACAGCGCCTGCAGCGAGTCGGCCAGGCCGTCCAGCTGGCGGGCGGCGGCGCGCAGCCGCCGCTCTGCCGCCGCATCCTCGGCCAGCGCTGCCTGGTTGAGGGAGGCGCGCTGGGACTGCAAGCGGGGTAGGGGGTGGGGATGGGGAGCGGCAGGCCACGCGCATCCAACGGCACAGCTGTACGGGCTATGCCTGGAATTCTCGCACGCAGCGGCCCCTGCCTGCCCACCTGCAGCTGCCGCGCCTGCTCAGCCAGGTCCAGCAGGGCCGCACCAACCGCCTCCTCCCCCCACTCAGCCCCGCCACCCGCTGCACCCGCCCTGCCGCTGGCCTGCTGCCGGGCCCTGCCGCGCGTGCCAGGAGAAGCAGCGGCGCGCTTGCCGCCGCTGGGCACCGCCTCAAAGTCGCTGTCGCTGTCACTGCCCTCCCCGCTGCCGCCCGCACGCGCAGCAGCACGGGCGCGGCGGGTGGCGACACTGCCCCGGCTGGCTGCGGGCTTGGGCGGGGCTGCCGCCTCGCCGCCGCTCGCTTCATCCGAGGAGGGAGTCTCCACAAGCCGCCGCTTGCTGCGCGCCGATGCGGCAGAGGCAGCTGCCTTGCCTGCAAGGGTCGCGACCCGCCCAGCCTGCGAGCCGCGCCGCAGCCTGCGCCGCTGCCTGCGCGTCACCTCCTCCTCTTCTGACTCGCTGCCCGCCTGGCTGTCCCATCCCGAGGCAGCGGCGGCGGCAGGCTCTGGGGTGTCCCGCATGGAGCCCTCCTCGCTGTACCCCTCCTCCTGTGCCTCCTCCACAGCTGCCGCATCTGCACCGCCGCCCTCGCCCTCCTCCCTCCCAGCGGCCAGCGCCGCACGCACACCCTCCAGCTGCTCCTGGCGCTGCCGCAGCTCCGCCCTCAGCTCCCGCAGGCGCGCCTGCGCCTGCTGGAGCCGCCAGGTGGCTCCCTCGTGCCGCTTCACTGCCGCCCTCCATTCCGCCTCCACCTTGCTGTGCTGCTTCTTGAGCCGGGCTGCGGCCGCGGCAAGGCCCTCGGCCTCCTGCTGCTGCTGCCCAGCCCCCTCCTCCAGCCCCACAAGCTCCTGCCGCAGCTGCGCCGCTTCCTCGGCCGCCGCCGCCGCTGCCAGCTGGGCTGCCTGCAGCTGGTGGAGGTGGCGCGACGCGGCACCCAGGCCAGCCTCGGCCGCCGCGACACGCTCCCGAGCGCCGCCCACCTGCTTCTGGAGTGCCGCCTGCTGCCGCTCAGCCGCCAGCAGCCTGGTGCCTCCCCAGCTCCCCGTCATGCCTGCCTCGTAAGCGGCCCTCGCCTCATCCACCTGCCAGTCCGCCAGTGCTTTTGCTGCGCTAGCAGCCTGCAGCGCATCCTCTGCCTCTGCCTGCTGCCTCTGGGCCGATGCCAGCTGGCGCAGCGCCAGCTCCAAGCGCTGCACCCGCCTGGCCGGCGTGTGCGCAGCCGCTGTCGCGAGCTGCAGGCGCCGCTCCGCCGCAGGCAGCCGGCCCTCGAGTGCCTGCTGCTGCTGGCGCAGCCGCCCTGCGTCTGCCGCTGCCGCCTCCGCCTGCGCTGCCGCCGCCTCCGCCTCCCGCTGCGCCTCCGCCTGCTGTGCTTGCAGGGCAGCCACCTGCACCTCCAGCTGCTTCCGCTCAGCTTCCGCCGAAGGTGGCGCAACCACCGCGGGCCCGCCGGCCGGCACAAAGGCGGCTCCCAGCAGGTAGGGGCGCAGGTGGGCGGGGGGCGAGCGTGCCGCCAGTATCTCCCCGTCTGCCTTGAAGCAGTCGCCCTGCGGGGCCACCAAGGTGTGGAGAGGGTAGGCTCGAGGCAACCGGAATCGGGGCTGGCAAGCGGAGCAAGGGCCAGCGGGGCCCATTGCCGCACCGCACCCCAGCCCACTGGCGCTCTCACCTGGGGCGTCACAATGTTGCGCCGCTGGCCGTGGCGCCCTGCCGCCGCGCGCTCCTGCGCCACCGCCGCCAGCGCCGCCTGCCTGTCTGGCGCCAGCCACCAGCTGCCCAGCAGGCGGTCCACCAGCGCCGCCGCCCCCTCCGCCTCGGGGTGCGCCTCCACGCAAGCGGTCAGAGGCAGCAGCGCGCCGGCGGGACCACCACACTGCTCCTGCTCCCGCTCCCGCTCCTCCTGCTGCTGCTGCTCCGCCAGGATCTGGCAGGTGGCCACCCCCACCCGGTGCCGCTCATAGTGGGCCACCACAGCCTGCGCCGTGGCACGATCCGCCACCACCAGGCAGCCGCCCAGGCCGACGGTCGCCGACAGCGCGGCGTTCACGGCGGTGTTCGAGCCCGCCTGGCTGCCCGCCAGGCGCGCCACGCTGTGCAGCCTGCCGAAGAAGGTGCCGGGCAGCTGGCCGCGGGCAGAGGCTGCCGCCAGGGCTCTCACAGCCTGGTCACCAGCCTGCCTGCCGCCGCCACCAGCCTGCTGAGCGCCTGTGGGCCGCTCCAGGTGGGCTAGCGGGGCCTGTGCGTCCGCCAGCTGCGCGTGGGCCGCCTGCGCCGCGGCCTGAAGCTGGTACTGCCGCTGGCGGGCGTCTTGCAGCCGCGCCTCTGCCTCCTGCACCTGCAGCTGCCGCTCCTGCAGCTGCAGCCGCAGCTGCTCCACCGCCTGCCCGGCCTCCCTCTCACGCTCCTGCTGCTGCTGTGCCGCCGCCTCCAGAGCCCGCACCTCTGCCTCTGCTGCCGCCACCCTGGCTGCAGCCTGCTGCCGCTCCTGCTGCGCCGCCGACAGCTGCGCTGCGGCCTGGTCGGCTCCCCGCTGCGCTGACGCCAGCTCAGCCGCCAGGCTGGCGGTCCCGCCTGGCACCGCCAGCTCGCTTCTCAGCTGCCTCACTAGGCCCGCCGCCTCACCCTCCCTCTCCCGCAGCTCCCGCAGCTCGACAGCGGCAGCGGCCAGCGCCTGCCTGCGCGCACGTGGGTGCAGCTAGGTTTGCCACGAAGTGCCCAGCTGTGCGCTTGCGCAGCAGCCCACGCGGGACTGGCCCCTCACCTCTGCTTGGCAGCCTCCGCCTCCGCCTGCCCCAGCCACTTCTGCAGCTGCTGGCGCCCCGAGGCGCCGCCGCCGCCTGCCGCCGCCGCCTCAGCCGCCTTGAGCCGCACCCTCAGCTTTGCTGCCTGCAGCTGGGACGCCGCTGCCGCGTCGGCCAGCCGCCCAGCCTCCTCCTCCGCCGCTCCTGCCTGCTCGGCAGCTCCTGCTGCGCGGGCAAGCAGCGCGTCGGCAGCCCCCCTGGCCTGTGCCTGCTCCGCTGACTGTTGCGCCACGCTCTCCTCCACCTCGCCAGCCTGGCGCTGCATGGCGGCCAGCTGGCGCTGCACCAGCGCCGCCTGCTGGCCCAGCACCTGCGCCCTGCGCCTCTCGTGGTCCCGCGCGGCAGCCTCGTACCGCCGCCACGCCGCGACCTCGGGCGCCAGCCGCCGCCGCGCCGCCTCCAGCCTGCGGGCCGTGCGGGATGCGCACGGTGGGGCGGTGGGTCACCCACTGGGGCTGTGCCCGTGAGAGAGCACGCACTGCTGCAAGGTTCAAGTCCCTGCCAGCTTACTGCAGGCCAGGGCGGAGCGGTCTCCCACTCACCCCACCATCCCCTCCTCCACAACATCATACTGCTCCGCCGCCACCGCCGCCTCTTCCCCCAGCGCCCGCAGCGCCTCCTCCATCCCCGCCGTCCCCACCAGCAGCTCCAGGAAGCGGGCCAGCTGCGCCGGCTCCGCCACCTGCACAGCCTGCCGGTGCTGCGTCACCACAAACCTGCGCGGCAGGCGAGGGCAGCGCTCCAAGGTTGAGTTTTTAAGGCGGCTGAGCGTGCGGCTGTGCTTGGGGCCGCAGCCTGCTGGAGTGACGCTACCGCTCTCCCTGCACCCCGCCAGGACCCCCTCCCCGCACCCCCACCTGTCCACCGCCTCTGTCTGGATGCCCAGAGGGGCCAGCAGCTCACGCAGCCCCGCGGGCGTGGTGGCCTGCCAGGCCTGCCCCTGCTGTAGCCCTGCCTCACCCGCCGCCTCGGGTGCTGCTGCTGCGGGGGCCAGCCATCGCACCGCACAGTCTGACCGCCCCGTCCGGCTGACCCTCCGCCGCACGAGCAGGCGGCCGGCCGGCAGCGGCGCCGCGGCTGCGCCCTCGGCGGCGGCAGCAGCAGCGCTGCCGCCGCCACCGCCTGCCGTGGGTGGCTGCCTGGCGACGTCAAAGTGCAGGGTGACCTCGGCGCCGTGCGGTGGGCTGGGCAGGCCGGGCGTGGCGTTGACGAGGGAGGCGAGGGAGCGGGCGCGCATCATGCGTGCGTTGCCACCCAGCGCAAAAGCGATGGCCTCGCCCTGCGCGGAGTGGGTGGGTGGGTGGGGCGTGTGCAGGCGAGGCACAGGCGAAGGCGTGCGGCCCAGCCAGGCCGCCCATGGCCCTCATGCCCGCTCACCACCACGCTCTTGCCGCAGCCGTTGGGGCCCACGATGCAGGTGAAGGGGCCAAAGGGGTCGCCCACCACCACGCGCTCCGCGTAGCTCTTGAAGCCTACAGCGGGCGCGCGGGCAGCGGAACGTGGCGGCGGAGTGGCCGGTCGCCGGTCGCCGGCGGCAGCAGCAGGCTGCTGCAAAAGCCAGCTTGGCGAATCAACCTTTGCAGCAGTCGAAGTCCACAGCAGCTTTGCGAACAACTCCCACGCTGCCGCCCTGCTATGATAGTGGCGTCTGTGGCTGTGGGAACGTGCCAGCTTTTCAAAGACAGCAGCCCTGCTCACCCTCCAGCTCCACTGCACGCAGCTCCAGCCTCCTGTGTTCCTGGGGTGCTGCCAAGGTTTGTTCTGCCTCCTGCAGCACACCCTGATGGTCTGGCTGCATAGTGAATAACATATGTTGGGCCTGTAAAAGGTGGTTTGGGTGATGCTGGCGAGCCTGGTGCGGGTGGCGCAGGCGCATGCCCGCCTCATGGCGCAGCGCCAGGCGGGCGTGCGGGACGTCCCGCGACGCTGTTTTGGCTGTTCAAGCTTGAGCATCATCGTGTCCTTGGACAGTGTGCCGATCGCCTACATGCCGCCCGCCCTCGGCTCCGCTGCCAGGGCCAAAGGCGGCGCGGTGCTGCGTTCTCGGCAGCGTGGCGCCGTCCACCGCCGGCGCCCCGCCCGCGGTGGAGAAGATGAGCATGTCGCCGCCTCGCGAGGCGTGGTGGGGAGTGCGTGATGTTTTCCAGCGTGGGCAGCGGCTACGGCTGGACAGCAGGCCCCGTGCCCCGCTGCACACGGCGGCGCAGCGGAATGTGCAGCACCGCGCGCTTGAACTTGGTCCTGTCGGTGTGCAGCTGGTGCACCCCGGTCTGCAGCTGGTGCACCCCGGGAATGCCCAATTCCAGGGGTGCACCATCTTTTTGTGGACCAGACCAGGCTCGTGTGCGTCGTTGTGCACATGCCGCTGTGCAGCCGTGTCATGGTCCCTCTGTACCCGCTAACAAATCCCCACCCGTGCAGCATAAGATTGTCAAGGTTGCCTTGGCACCAAACGTTTGCCCGCGTCACCGACTCGCCAGGGATGCGGGACTTGCTGAAGCAGTACCGCTCGGTGCCAGGCGCTGGCCAAGGGGTGGGGCGTCAGCCTCACGGTGGGGCTGCCTAGGTGGCTGCCTGGTGGTTGGGTGTAATGTCATGATACAGTGTAGCCTCCCGCTGTAAAACCGCCACGCGTAAACACGCCATGGCGCCAGTTCCGCACCGCCGCCACCGTACCAAGGAGAGAAATCGGCAAAGCAGAACATGCCGCCTTGCGCCTGCCGCCGCCGCCTCCATGGAAGGGAGAAACACACTTGCTGCTATCAATAGAGTTCTAATTTGGAGTTCAGTCAACTGTACCGGCGGCGGGAGAAGTACATGTGTTGCCCGCTGATGTGGCACCTCCCCCGATTCGTCTGGCTCATCAGGCACGCTCTCTCCCGCGATCCCTCCCTTTCCTTCGCCTTTCAGAGTCTCTAAGGCTTCTATTTCTCCCCTCCCGCACCCCGCAGCTGCCGCAAATTTAAAATTATGAACCAACCTGTCATCCTTTATGCCTTAGAACGGCGCCAAAACGGCGCCAAGAATGTGTTTCTCACTAAGTCAGATGTAGAGGGCATCATCCGGATCAAGCAGGGCGACCAGCAGGCGCCCTCAGGCCGGCGGCGGCGGGGTGCGGGAGGGGGGGCGGCAGTGCAGGGCGGCGCCAAGAACTACAGCAAGAAGGTGCTGCAGTTCTTCCAGGTGCTGAAGGGCGCTGGCGGTCAGGACATCCTGTGCCGCTGCGTCAAGCGCAGCGGAGAGTGGCGGTGGTGCCCCGTGGTGCCGCTCGAGGAGCTGCCCCGAGTGATCAAGGAGCACCACGAGCGGGCGACTGGCTTCAGCGGTGTGGAGAAGCTGTACACACATGTGAGTGATACAAGGGGTGCAATGATGCCGCCAGACCAACTGGAGAGTGCTCTGCATCAGGCAGCAACCGGATGCATCGCAGCAAGCACGGGGGGTGCGGCACGGCCAAGGTGGCGCTG